TTGTTTTTCATTGAGATGAAATAACATTGGATCAAGGCCAATGTTCCATGGGCTTAATGTCATGCGCTTATCAAGCCATAAACGGCAACCATATTCTAAGGCGTCTTGCAATGACCATGGATCGTTTGGCTGTTTTCCGATGCAGGTGTGACAAATACATTCTTCTTCATCTGCAGTTGAAATGATGGTACGGTGAGGATGATTTGTGAGCCAATCGTCTTTAAATTCTTTTTGAACGTCGAAAGCATCAGGCTGAAGAATTTGTTCTGCCGTAAACAGTTGATATTTAACAAATTTGTTCAATTCTTCGATATCTCCCCATGTATGAATTGCTTTGTCAGTAGCAAGAATAATAGTAAATAAGTCTTGAATTAGGCTGAATTTACGACTGCCAGCAATTGGGAGATGAAAGACCTCGACAAGTAGGATGATCGATGGTTGATCGAGCCGAAGAAATTGAAGCTGAATCAGAGCAGGTTGGTTTTGTTTGCCTTTTTGTGTAATGGATTCAGTATCAAGGACGTACGACGTCGTGTGTTTGGCGATCGAAATTAATTCATTTAATGTTGTTGTCGAGGTTGCCCGAGTAACGTGATATACTTGATATTTAGAGGTAGGAGGATCGAAGAGTGGGAATGTTGATGCTAAGTAATGTTCATGTAATTTTTTACGAAATTTGTTCACAGGATGTCGATTTGTGAGGATGATCAACGGTGATGATTACCAAAGCTGCTTGCTAGCAACATTCTACTGCAGGATTCCGAGTCATGAATTCGGAATCTCAGAGGATAGTAAATATCCGAAACGAATTTCGAGCATTCTATGTCACGAGTAAGAGAATAATCAACTCATCAATAGAATAACCACAAATTTAATATAATAGCCTCTCTGGTCAGTGAGAAGAGAAACTGTTACTCCCCGGCCAGTACTGCTAAATTATATTTCATGCATTAGCGCTCTATAGATAATTAAATCATTCTGGCTGTTTGGTATTCTTGATCATCGAAAATGGATCTCTCGAAATTCGAGCGATCCTCTATGGTAATGGTGTTCGTTGAAAAAGGGGAATGATCGCATCGACCGTCACTTGACGCTGTAATGTTGTCTTCTTTACATGTTCGATGATGAAGGTCTTTGGACCGAGCTGCTGGACAATTTTGAATGGGCCTTCATGTCTAATATCGAATTTGTGACGAGGATTGAGTGTTTTAACGAGAATGAGATCACCAATATTGTACTTTGGGTTTGATCTATTAGCATCATATCGTTGTTTATATTGCTGCTGACTTTTCGAGATGTTTTGCTTGGCTTGTTCGGTTAATGACGACAAATATTTATTTAATTTATTACAATGCTCTGGGTCTTGTGTGAGCGAGACGGTTGGGTCTTGATGATCAAAAGGAAGGATCGGAGATCGGCCATACATCATTTCGAATGGAATTTGTTTTGTTGTTGCATGAAGCGCGGTATTATAATTGAATGTAACAAAAGGGAGTTGGTCATCCCAATCGGTTTTTTGTTCGTTTGATAACGCTGCAATTTTGGCATCCATTGTTGAATTATATCGTTCAATTTGGCCGTTGGTTTGTGGGTGATATGGTGTTGAATATAAATGAGTAACGCCAATTTGTTGAAATAATTCATCCATCATTTTGGCTGTGAAATGACTTCCGTTATCCGTCAAGATACAGCGAGGTGTTCCATATTTTGTGATGATATCTTCCTTAAGGAAACGAGCAGCTGTCTGAGCGGAGCAATCCCGTACCGCTCGAGCGACCACGAATTTGGATAGGACATCAGTGAGCGAGATGATGTATTTGTTGCCACGTTTTGATGTTGGTGAAATGGGACCATGAAAATCCATCGTTAACAGTTGCCAGACTCCATCTGGTGGTTTGATGGGCTTTAATGCACCAGGAGGTTTTTGACGACGAGGATTAAATTGAGCACAGGGAATGCAGGATTGAACGTAATTTGCGATGTCTTTGTTCATGGAGGGCCAAAAATAACGTTTTTTGATCTTTTCAATTGTTCGATCACGACCGAAATGTGCTCCGTTAGCTGATGTATCATGGTAGATTTTGAGAATGCTTGACCGATATCCACCTTGGGGAACGTATGGAACTGGAGGAAAAGTTCGGCGCATTAATATGTCATTTTGAACGAGATATTTCTTATGATTCTTGATATTGCGCATTATGTCTTGCAATTGAAGGTCATCGTGCTGTGCCTCTTTCAGTTGCTCAAGGGTAAATGGAATAATATAGTTCTCCCGAGAAAGAACTTCTGGATCACCGTTAAGTCGATGAGGCGCATAATTAGTGGTGTCGAGAGACATTGTTTTTTCTGTTGTTTGTAATGGTGTTATTTTTGTCGAGGGGTTATTTGACGCTGACTGCCTCGTTGCTGAACGTGTTTGTACTGCTGCGACGATTGAAAGAAATTCGGAGTTTAGTTCGTCATGCGTCTGAGTTGATTTTGAGGACGTGAGAATGATGTCATCAGGGTCTTCTTCTGCATCATCGACAGGATATCTGGATAGATAATCAGGCATTGCGTTCTGAACCCCGTGAATGTGTCTGACGTCGAAATCGTATTCAGCGATTTTCAACCGCCATCTTTCACATTTTTTGTTTGTTTGTGATTTCTTATTCAATGGGAGTAGTGATTTATGATCAGTCTCCCAAATGAATTTCGTTCCACTTAAATAATTATGCCATTTTTCTAAAGAACATATTAGTGCATAACATTCTTGTTCGGTCGCAAACCATCGCCGCTGTGTTGGCGTGAATTTTTTCGACAAATATCCCACAGGACGTTCCCCGTCAGGGAAAACCTGTAGCAATACAGCGCCAATCCCTTCATCAGAAGCGTCAGTTTGTATTTTGAACGGATACGCTGTGTTTGGTATTCGGAGGACGAGATCTGTTGTGAGGATCTGCTTGAGTTCTTCGAATGATTTCCGCTCATCTTCGGTTAACGTGATGGTGGCCTTGTGTCCTTTTCGGCCGGTCTTTGACGTAGGTACGAATTTTCTCAATGGTTCCCCAATGAAAGAGAGGCTCGGGATGAACTTACGATAATATTCTGCTGCTTTGAGGAATTTACATGCTTCTTCGGCTGTTCTTGGAATTTGGGTATGCAATAACCCACGGATGTTGTCCGGGCTTGGACGAATGTCACCTTGTTTGATGTAATGACCGAGATAATGTGTTTCAGTTCGAGCCACTTC